TACCTCGGAAGCGACCTGACACCATGATCCGGGCGCGGCGCAAAGATCAATCAAGACTTTGCTCTTCTCGAGGAAGTTGTACTTCTTGTTCAGCTGGATCAACTTGAAGGCGGCACGCGCACGATAGCCCTTCTCCTTGGCGAGCTTGTACCATTTGTCAAGACGACCTTTTCCGTGCTTTTGAATATTAGTCACTATCACGTGTATCAATATCGTACTTGCGCACCTTCTTTTGGATCGCCATTGCTGCGGTATGGCGTCGTGGTACGGCGGGCAAAAGTTCGCGCTACAAAATTTGGGAAGCCTGGCAATATCGCTAGGCGGTGGCAGAATGCACGCTATCAGGGTACGCTAATCCGGGACTAGTGCACGGGATGGGCCCACATGCGTCATTGCTGGTTCAGCACGACGCGCCTGGTCCACCTCGGGATGAAGGTATGCTGCCAACTTCACGTGTCTTCCCCGTGCTGATGCTTGCTCCAGCGGTCGCATCGCCTTCTCAGCTCCTTCAACCTCCCTGCCGGAATGAACCCACGCAAGAAGTCCAAGCCAAACCCCGAGGCTCCCTCCGACGCATCCACCAAGGCCCCAGCAGTCCCACAGGATGCAAGTACGACCACCACTACTCCCAGCAGTAGCAACATCCTGCCAGATGCACCCTCGGACCAGTCGGTAGCAGCGTCAACGTCTTCACTTGGCGCCACAACACCGACAGCCTCCGGGACACAAACACCGCGAGGCAAGAGGTGGCTTTCGGGCACGGGCAGTTGGCGGTCGAAAGCGCCTGCCATAGTCCAGACCGCGAAGGAAAGCATCGGAGTCAGCGGGGGCGCGACAGGCGAACTACCCGATGATGAAGCGATGAAGCCAAGAGACGAGTCGCCCAAGAAGTTCCTCACCAAGCGCAAGTCGAGCAAGGGCGATGCCATACCCGCCTCCATCACCCAGGTGAACGTATCCTCAGACGGCCTCCTCGACGAAGCTCCAAAGCCAAAGCCACAGCCACAAGACGTCGAAGAAACACCCGCGTCCCAAGTTTCCGAACCGCCATTGCCTCCCGAACCGCCCAAATCACAAGTGGATGCAGCTGCTAGTGCATGGGGATGGAAATCTTGGTGGTCACGCCCCGACGGGTACGCAGACCCAGCAAAAGTTAAAAGCGAGGCACATTCAAGCGTTGACGAGGCTTCCACCACGCCACTTCCTGGACCGACACCTTCAGAAGAGCCAGATGCGCAAACGAAGGGTCTAGACGCTGGCTCTATCCAACCCGACACGGACCAGGTCGCAGATGCAGATGGGAAGGATACGCCGAAAGAAGCGGCACCTCGTCCAGATACAGAGTCGAGGGCTATAGCATCTACAACTGCCAAGGTTTTGGCGAGAGCTGCATCTGGCTCTTGGTTTTGGACGTGGAGTAGTGCGCAGAATGCGCAGGCGAATCCACCTCCGGTCGAGCCTCCCACTGAGAATAATGGATCAGCCAAAGTCGATACCGAACCGCAGACTCTTCCCGACGCACCTGCCGAGATCGAACCCACTGCGCCAGAAGAGACAACAGCATCCACCGCCCCAGATGCGCCTATCGAAACTCCTCTAAAGAGCACTACAGGAACCTCGAAAACCTCCGCATGGGCGTTTTGGTATAGGGGCAAGCCAGATGACGAAAAGAAGCCAGGAGAGGCTGGACCGCAGAAACATGTCGGTGAGGTCGCAGTGTTTGATACCCCCTCACAATCGAACCCAGAAGCAGCGCAGTTCAACGAGCAAGAGCAGCCCAAAACAGACACAGAGACACCCAAAGAACCACAGCAGCCACCGAAAGAGGAACCGGTGACTAAGAAATCGTTTGCATCTTTACGAGGCCGACCGAAGACAAAACCTCCCGCTAAAGACACGCCAGAAGATACTCCCACGTCAAGTAAGCCCGCTACGCCGACGAAAGCCTCACCCGTGCTCGAGCCTACGAAACCCGAGACGAAGCCCGACGCAAAACCAGAGACGGGGACTGCTGCTAAGCAAGCGCTCAAGCAGGCAGCGAAGGCCAAGCAAGGACCGGCGAACCTCCTGCTACCAGAGTTCAGGACCACCTACCAAATGGTCCAGCAACCAAACTTCTGGAAGCAGATCCGACGATACTTCCTCGGAGGCGAGCCTGCGACCCCTCACCTACATATCAACCCGGCACCGCCGAAGATCAAGAAGGCTGTAGCGATTGGCGTACATGGCTTCTTCCCTGCGCCCATCATCCAAAAGGTGCTAGGGCAACCGACGGGTACATCAATTCGATTCGCGAATGCAGCGGCAGCAGCGATCAAAGACTGGACCGAAGCGCGGGGATACAGTCCCGAGATTGAGCAGATAGCATTAGAAGGGGAGGGCTTCATTGCTGAGCGCGTTAACTCTTTGTGGAAACTCTTGCTGAACTGGATCGATCACCTGAAGCAAGCGGACTTCATCTTGGTCGCCTGCCACTCGCAGGGTGTGCCGGTAGCCATGATGCTCGTCGCGAAGCTTATACAGTTTGGATGTGTCAACGCAACAAGAATCGGAGTATGCGCCATGGCCGGTGTCAACATGGGTCCATTCATCGAGTACAAGACGAAATACTTTGGCCCTACGGCTGCCGAGTTATTTGAGTTCTCCAACCCTAAGAGTCTTGTTAGCCAGATGTATCTCGCAGCTCTAGACGAAGTCCTTCGATTTGGTGTGCGGATACTCTACGTTGGTAGTATCGACGACCAGCTGGTCTCTCTCGAAGTAAGCAGACCGTTCTTGAAAAGCAGTTTTTGCGCTCACTAACCCACGTCAGTCGTCAACTTTCTCAACGCTATCGCATCCCTACATATACCGCGCCGTCTTCGTCGATGGCCGCATCCATGCGCCAGACTTCCTAACCCACCTCGTTGGCTTCGCGCTGAAGCTACGCAATCTGGGTCTCCCCGATCACGGCCTCATTCGCGAACTCTCCCCCGCCCTCGCAGGCTCTCTATATGGCGGCGAAGGCCACTCTCGCGTCTACGAAGACCCTGCCATCTATTCCCTAGCCGTCCAACACGCCCTCGAAACAACATCCCTACCGACACCCACAACGACTAAAGAGCGACCGAACACCGCGGGCAGTTTCCAGGGCATCAACATCCCCATCATTGGCGAGAAGCTCGCGAGTAACAGTAAGAAGGAGGACGTGTTCAAGCTCCGGGTGAATCACTACGAGCCATCTGCCACCACAACAAACCCGAACCCTTACTTCTTACCGTGGGCGATGAGGGGTTTGCTAGAAGAAGACTTCGTCAAGAAAGAACTTGGAGATGAAGTGGAGAAGTTGTTGGGCATGTTTGAGGCGTGGAAGCCAACTGGGAAACAGCTCAAAGATGTGAAATTTAGACTTGAGGGAGTGCGAAGTAAGCTCTAAGCACCTGATCGAGACGGCAATGTTTAGTGTCACTGTATGAACATGTGAGCGTTATCTGGTTTCAGTCACAATCATCTGGTTTCAGTAGGCGTTCACGAGGCGCTCAATTTACGTGGCGGGAAGATACCAAACAATGGGCGTAGAACACATAGCGTATTGAATTTATACGATTAATTTGCAGATACATGACATCTGATCATGACTTCCTCTCTCCGCCCACGTGTGCATCGTGATGGGTACATTCACCGAGTTTTTACTCAAACCGCCTCCCAAAGTTTGGGGGTTAGTTGTCATCGTAGAAGATCTCCTTGTACCGATGTGTAGCATCTACAACGGCATTTGCGGCATTGAAGTCTGCTCTTGTGTTAACATGAATCCTACTTCGTACAGGAGGACGATTAAGGAAGATACATACCGATGTTCGTCCCAAAGTCCGTAGCAGCTTGTACCTTGACATGTAGATTTTGGTCTACCTTGCCGATGATCTCTACTGCGTGACCGACGGCGAGGTGTGAATCCTAGTCGATCTCTGTTAGCCCGAATCCATGTGCGATTCAATTTGTCTATTAGGGTGCTTACCCTGTTCAGAATAACATCAACGTTGCCTCCAGCATCGATGACTGCCGTCTCGCCGCGCAGTTGTACGACTTTGCCCAGCATGCGCACGATGCGGTGTTGGAAGTTTGAGAGGTGTGGGGCGAGGATGCGGGGGGTTTGTGGGTGGTCCATTGTGAGCTAGCTTTTTCGGATTTTTGTGCGGAGAAGCTTTGTGAGCGCTTAATGTAGTATAGATGTGTTGTGCTTCTCCTGAGTGATTGTGTGTGGCGGGAGGAGATGGTGCTGCGTATTGTGGTGTAGAGTGGTATGGACAGCAAGGTGGAGATGAAGGAAGGTTTGACGCGTCGCGTAAAATGCGCTAGCACGTGATGGCGCTTGAGCTCCTGATCGTATCTCGGCCAGCGGGAATGAGACGAAACCCCTACACCCGAGCTTCTCAATCTGAACCATGAATCCTCTGATTAACAGACATCAACATGGATGTCATCCACAGATACGATGTACTACCTTCACCAGGGCAAGCCCGCACCTCTCTGCGGGCATTCGGCGCTCACATATCGCGACGCGACTTCACATAACGAATGCGTGTTCTTCGACCTCGAGACTGCGATCTGGTCATGCGCAAACTGGACTCGGTTTCATCTAGCACTCCGATATGTTCTCGACTTTTTCTCGAAACTGGTCCGTCGTCATACAGCTCCATTTGCTCGTTGGTAGCAACCCAAAACATGTTCGCTTGTCTAACCGCAAGGCACAATCAATATATTGATTGACTTCACGATCAGCTTTCCTTGCGTATAGTCACTTTCTCATGATAAAACAATGATTTTGGAGCATCACACCGCTTGCGCGTGTAATCATCACCGTTTGTGTGCAGATATTCTCGCGAGTGTGCCTCTGACCAGCAAGCTGAATGGGTAAGCTGGAGGTATATTAAGGATCTGCAGTTCTGATGCAAAAGTCACACCAGAGCCACTGGGCAATTTTAGAACAGCTATCTTCATTCCAGTCGCGGATACCCACGGTAATGGCAACACAGGCTGCCGAGAAGCACGACGCCCTGACGGTTTGGGCCAACGACACAACTCACGACTTCTACTACCCTCCTTCCGATTTACAAGTACCAGACGATCCAGTCAGAACGGGACCTGGTCGCGCATGGGATGAGGCCGACTTCGCGAAGAAACAAGCGTCACTGGCCTACGCAGTCAACAAGAATAAACCACCACACGCCGGAAGATTTCCCATTCGGACTAAACTTCAACCTCTCGATAGCGGCTCGAAGAAAGCGATCTTGACCAACCATTTCCAGCTGAAGACGCGCGACAAGGAACTCTACGAGTACGAAATTCTCGATCTCGACGCGGACGGTCCGACTCGGAAAAAGATCCAGGCTTTGTTTCGTAAAGCAGTCGATACATGGCCTTTCCTCAACGCCCACCAGGACAGTTTCGCTACAGACGGCCAGAAAACCATCGTATCTTGGAAAAGCCTGCACAGTAACATGGACCCTAGCACGCTCGAGGCAGGCGCTTCATCTACTTGGCGCCGCGATCTTGTAGTCAATAGCGCTATTACCATTCCAGCGCGTTTCAGCTTCGTTGGAACGGTCGATGTTGCTGGTCTCATCCAGCAGAGCGAGAGTAATCCGGACCAAGAAAAGACTGACCATACTTCTGCGGAGCGGTGTCTTAACATCCTTATTGCGAAGAGCTTTGACGCAAGCGTAGTCCGGCTTTCTGGAAAGAAATTCTACGTAAGAAAAGCTCGCGCAAACCTTGGAAGTTCCACGTCGCTTGAGATCATTCGAGGCTACCATTACGCTGTCAGGCCGGGTATGGGAAACCTGCTCATGAACTTCAACGTTGCGACTAGTGCATTCTTTCGTCCAATCCTTGTAAGCGAGTTTCTTGCGGATCGTGGCACATTCAGCAGCGACTGGGAACGACAAGTCAATCTCAAAACTCTCCGGGTTTATGTAGAGTTCCCTCATTCTGAGGATCGCCTGAACAGGCCAGGTGCTCGTATCAAGAAGATCAAGGATCTTGGACCCGCTATCGGCACTCTGTCCTTCCGGAAAGTATCCAAAGATGCCCAAGGACACCCGATAAGGGACATAACCCAACCAGGTGGTTGGCAAATCGATCCTCCTACTCAGGTAGTTGATCATCTGATGACAGGTAAGAAGACTCATCTATATTTAGTGCGTTGGCTAACGTCATTACAGTGTTTGGTCAGTCTGCCGTCCCAGGTCGAAAGGCTGTCAACGTGGGATCAGCTGGTGACCCGGTCTATTACGCTCAAGAAATGCTTCGCATCATTCCTTACCAATTGTACACACGTCCTGTTCCCGATCGATTTACCCGCAACATGGTCGAGATGGCTGCACTTGATCCAGGTCAATCGCAGTGGCTCATCGAAAATGAAGGCCTTTCTCAACTTGGATTTGCCAACGCTAAGAATGAGGAGGTTCAGTTTGTGAGTAGCAACTCTCCACATTGGCCGCTCTGGAGCTAACTCGTGTGCAGCGTAATAATGTCCCAATGTCCTTGTATCCGACGATGCTACAGGTACCTTCCACAACATTGTCCTACCCTGAAGTCCAGTACCATTGGAATACGTTTCGTCCTGAGAAAGACAAGAAGGCGAACGACAAACCTCCATCCTTTACGCAGTCCGCTTGGAACCTGTAACCCTTCACAGCTTTCTACATCCCTAAAGTACAGACGTTGAAATACTTTGTCATTCATTCATTGGATTCGACAGTCCCCGTGGCCGGTTTCGAGACGGAGTTGCAAGACCAAATGCTCCGAAGATGCAATACGAAGGCCGAGGGGGTAGTCCGCTTGAATGCCAGCGAAGCTGCAAGTGAACTCAAAGGCTCTTCCATGGAACTAAGAATGAAGCAAGCTAAAGAATCCGAGGCTGAGCTGGCGGTTCTGTTGCTTCAGAATTTCGACCGGAGCGCTTACGCGGAGTTCAAGAACCTGGCAGATCGCAAGTATGGGCTACGCTCTCTCTGTTTAGCAAAGCCGGCGCTGTTCTCGAACTCCAAGTACATGAGCAACGTTGCTCAGAAGATAAACATCAAGTTCGGTGGTGTGAACTCTTACGTGGCGAAGGTCAAATCTTTCTTGGAGACAAAGACGCTCGTTCTGGGTGCAGATCTAGTACATCCCCCAGCTGGGGCACTCGAAGATACACCCTCTATTGCCTGTATGGTTGGTTCTATCGACAATCACGGCGGCTGTTTCCCGGGATCTGCCCGACTCCAAAGCAAGGACCGAGACGACCGAGAGGTAAGTTCCACCGTTCATCTCCCGAATTCTATTGACAGTAACCAAGATAATTGACGAAGAGAACATTATGTCAATGGTCAAAGAGAGGATTAAGGCCTGGCGGGTTGACAAGGGGGGTCTTTTCCCTCTGAACATCATCTATTATCGCGACGGAGTGTCCGAAGGTATGTCCACTGACAGGTTTTGTATGTGGTCAATACATTGTTCAGCTTACTGACTTTATACCTTCAAACAGGACACTACCAGAAGGTAGTGAGCGTCGAGCTGAAAGCCATTCGCCGAGCATGGAGAGAAGCACAGGCCGCTACCAACACCATCCTACTGCGCGGTGACAAGGATGTGAAACTTACGGCTTTGGTAGGTGTGAAACGCCACCATACCCGCTTCTACCCGATGACAGACAAGGATGCGGACACTGAATGGGGAAACAATAATTGCCTTCCTGGCACTTATGTGGACCGAGTCGTCACCTCGCCATACTATCGAGACTTCTATCTCCAGTCTCACAGCGGTGTCAAGGGTACAGCGAGACCAACTCATTACTTCATGCTCGCGGACGGAAAGATTCCTAATTGCACCACCATCGACCAACTTCGGACGCTGGTAAGTTCGCGCTCACTTCATCACTGGAAACAGCCTACAATCTTGACTTCATTACCATTTGCTAATCATCATAACAGACTCATAGTCTCTGCTACACTTACTGCCGAGCCACGGGTGGCATCTCTTACGCGGCCCCAACCTACTATGCCGACCGCTTGTGCGACCGAGCACGTCTCTACCTCCCCGAGTCCTGGGCCGCCAACAACGTGGGGCTTCAGGCCAGTATCGATACTGCAAGGACCAACCACTCGACTGCACGTCAAAACAATCGTGATCTGCTATACCGTCAAGTACAGCAGTTCAACTTGGCAGTGCATAATGCGAAGTCTAACGCAGAGCTTGCAGATGAAGCGCAAGACGAGGACAGTCTTCGCGCGTTCACCAAGGACTTCGTCATACAGCATGCCAAGAACGAGTTCTACGAGTACAAGACTGACCAAACAGGAAACCCTTGGCACGAGTCTCTCGACAGGATCATGTTTTGGATGTGAGCGCTGGCTCATAGGGCGGAGCGGTAAGTCGGTGATGGGTGTCTCATACTGTCCTGTCGTATTTTCTTCTGTCCTTCACTGTTTGATTGGATTTCCCTTCTTTCCTTTCGTCATCAAGTCATTCCCTTGGTACTAGACAAACACTGAATAGGTACGCTGCTTATCAGCTGGTGACGTCCATTGCAACGTCAGGCTGCTACGTCACCTGCCCCCCCCCCCCTCTTCAATACCATCTTGTCGGTACCATTGTGTTTGACTAGCGCCCACCCTTGGTGCATATAAACTTCCTACCCCGTCTTTAAACATCTTCTTCTTGTCTCCGTTCATGGCGGCGAACTTACGAGTTCGTCGACTAAAAATTCACGCAGTTGGAAGCAATGTCTGTTTTTGGCCTGAGTGTCCAAAATGGATGGGTTTGCAATGTATGATCGCTGTTTCTTCGTCTGGGGAGTTTAGGTGCATGATGTTTACCCGACTGTCTTTTTGTAATGTCTGCGAGAGGTCTTCAACACATGTTTCTGGTAGTTTGAGTTTACATGAATCAAAAAGAAGATCGATTTGAGGCTATGAAAGCCGCTTGATCGAGTCTCTCGGGGTCTTTGCAAACGTAAACTATCTTTGGATGACCTCGACCGAAGTCGTACGTCGAGAAAAGCATGGGCGGTATATGCGGCCTCGACGTTTTATAAGTTTATCGATAACTGGTGAAGATATTCTGAATATTGGGCGTGTCGCCATACTCAGCGCCACCACAGCCAGCATCGAAAAAATATTGTTAGCGATGGTGTTGGTCCACTGACTGCATACGACCTCGTCCCACATCAAGGACCTTGTAGTATGAGGCAGTATAGGGCTTACGGTGACTACCCAGGACCATGTAGACGTCAAGAATTTGTATTAGGGAATATATATCATTGTTTCAGTCCTCTAGCTTCTTCAGCAAGGCCTTCATCTTCGCCAAGAGATCCGGAATCCTGAACGGCTTTCCCACAACATCATCCATACCCGCTTCCTTTGCGTCATCCATCTGTCCCCCTCGAATATTCGCGGTGACCGCAATGATTGGCACATGCTTCGTAATCTCTTTCCGTTCCTCCATCTCTCGTATCTTCCTGCAGCAGGTGAGGCCGTCCATCTCCGGCATCTCGCAGTCCATGAGAATGATGGTGAGTGGCATGCCATCAGCAACGCAAAATCTCGTTTTCGCGAGATGCTTCAATGCCCAGACGCCGTTATCGGCGGTATGTGTGACACAGCCAGTTTTTGTGAGCTGTTTCACTAGTACCTTTTGGTTGACTAGATTGTCTTCGACGACAAGAACGTGAAGTCGGTCATCTTCTTCTTCGTCTTTCTTGTCGTTTGTGGGCCGGGGAATCTGTGCTTGTACCGGGGTCTCAACTTCCTTAGGCGTGGCAGCGGGCGCTGTGGAGTTCTGGTTCGCAGCTGCGGCGCTGATTTTGCGCGAAGATGCCGCGTGTTCGGCGTCTAGAGCGTGCTTCACTGTATCCGTTGAGATCGTAGGTTTTTTTGCAATCATGCGTTTGCATTTCAAGTAGAACCCGAAAGTACTGCCGACGCCAGCTTGTGACGAGACGCCGATTTGACCGCCGTGAAGCTCGGCAAGTTGGCGCGAGATGAAGAGTCCGAGACCGCTACCGCCGTACTGCATATGTGTCCGTGGAGACTTCCCATTGAGAACTCTGTCAGCCTAGTTTTGCAGTGGTTCGGGGCTGGTCGCTCCTCACAGCTTGCGCAAACTTCTCGAATAGCAGCGATATCTGCTGAGGCGACAAACCGCATCCAGTGTCCTGGACATTGAACCGAAGATAGACAAACGAGCCTGAGCCCCAACCCTCGCCGTTTCCGAATTCGCTCACGATTTGTCTTGGCGGAACAACTAACGGCGGGCGCATAGAATTAGCGCTTCACCTTCAGGATATTCGACTAATGCAGCTACTTACATTGGAATCCTTCTGGTACGCCAAAGTCTGGCGATTCCGCATGAGCACAGACATGAACTGTGATCGAGCGAACTGGTGCGTCCATAGTGAACTTGATGGCATTGGTAATAAGGTTGACGATAATTTGAAGGAGTCGACTTGGATCAAGAATGACCCAGTCAATGTCGAGATCGCGGATACTCCGATGTGGAACGAACTTGAAGTCAATGTTCTTGGCTTGTATTTCAGGACGGAACCTGTTAGGATCATGTCAGCCCAGCTTCCGTATATATTCGACTAGAGGCTACCAACATTGCCATAGACCGCTGTACAACGATGATAGGCTGCGCTGGAATTGGAGTGATGCGGAGAAGATTCGAGTCCAGCTTTGAGACCGTGAGAATATCGTCGACGATCGACTTTTGATGCTGAACACAAAGAGTGATGTTCTCAGCAGCCTCGATACAGTCCTGGGCCATCTTTCGATCGCCAGTGCATGAGAATTGATACTGCGTCAGAGTATCTTTGATATCGTCGGCACATATCAAGATCGCGGAAAGCGGGTCTAGATGTTGGTAAACGCGTCAGTAGACATTTCGACTGCAACCAGCATAGGGGGGATATCGCTACTTCTCATCTCGTGCGACGTGATGTCGATGAATTCGTTCTGTTGACGCTTTGCCTCTTCTGCCTCCCGTAGTCTTCGTTCTTGCAGACCCTGCGCCCACTTCAAATGCGAAATGTCCGTGAGCGAGCCCATGATGCTGATCAGCTCACCATCGGGGCTTAGCTCTGGCTGACTAGCAGAGAGGACCCAATATTCAATTAGTGAACCGTCGATATCTCGGGGCTGGAATGTCGAATTGGCGAATTGTAGCTCACGACTTGCTGGCTTATGGTGAGTTATCATATCTGGATGTTAAATTTCGTGGTTAGCGCTTGAAATATGCGACTGGCATGGCAATATCGCGTACAGTTCCACATGTCTTGTGCCACTTGCCTGCTCTCACCCACCATCATCTCAATAGTCCAAGGTAGTTTGGTTCCTGTAGGTGAGACACCTGTCATCTCGTAGTATTTCTCGTTCGCCTCCAATAAAAGTCCATCCGGATTGAATAGATACATGCCCATGGGCGATAGTTCGGTCATTCGGCGCATTCGTCCGGTCTGAAGTTGGAGCTGTCGAGACATCTGTTCTCTTTGTAGGGTAGCCATCTCCGCGACTTCTTTGCTTTGCCGCACCTCACCTTCGAAAAGCAGTACTGACGCCAACGACGTGGCGATCTGTCTATTGAGCATGGCGATGAAAGACCTGTACTCATGATCATAAGCCCTTCGTGGATTGATGCCTATTAGTAACAAGGCACACACGTTGTCTGCATTGGTTGGTCGTAGAGGTAGAACTATTGCCTCTCTACAAGGATCCTTGTAACCGCGCCATTCGATGATGTCTAACAGTGGTTGTGGAAGCGTATGGTCTTTGATGCTCAACATCCTGGGCTCCAGGGTCTGCGTAGCTGCTCGAAAAGCAGGTGTCAAGATACCATCGTAGTTCTTGAAGCTGAATTTTTCGGGAGACACTGCATGCCCTCTCGGCACGCCGATAGATCCTTCGAACACGCATGACTTGACAGACGTTGGCGTTGCATCTGAATGCGAGGAACCATTTTCAATGTCGTCTGCCTCGGTAACGGTATATAGAAGCGCAAAGGGTACGTCGTATTCGTTGTGATTCAGGCCTTCCAGCACTCTTATCCAGAATTCTTCTGAAATGTGGGTGCGCGGTTAGTGTCTGTCTCACATGAAGGGTCGTCCATATTCACTTACTAACAGTACGTGTGGCGTTCATACGCTCCCCGAGGGATCGCAGTAACCACATTCTTCTACTGCTGATCGACTCAACCGTGGTATCAAAAGCGTTGAGATAGACTACAGTTCGCATCTCAGTCAGCAGTTCCAGTATCTTTGGCTCAAGCCCACTGAGTTTCGCTGATAGGCGGTACGGCAACGTTTCGCAGTGTTACTCACACCCCAAGACCCGCTCTGTTCCACCAAAGACCGGAACCTGTCCATGTGTTAGATGTATTCATGGGGCCAAATTGAGGGCATCAATACTGACAAAAGACCAAGTAAAGAAAGACTCTTCCATGTAACCGTAACGCATGATGGGTAGCGGCTGGTTGTGGTTTAGCTGCGCATGGCCTGTCCGAGCACATTCGCGAATTACAGGACCAACCGCATGCCACATTTCACCGAAGGGGCCTGAGAAACCGGTTCCCATCAAAGCCGGATGTTTATCGCCCGTCACGTCGTCTCGATAGGCCTCATTGTAAAGCATGGTCAGGTCCTCGCCCCAAAAGACAGAAGACGGGTGAGGGTTGCGCATGACCAAACAGACGATCTCTCGGAACTGGATCGACCATCTGTTCATAGCTCCTAATGGTGTATTTGCCCAGTCGATGCCCCGTATAAACTGTAGATGATCCGAGAGAGCACCTCTGGGGTGCGGTACTGTCCAGTCAGGTACGGACGAGTCAGGCGTAGACAGAGTGATCGCTGAGATGCTCGACTTGCTATTCTTGTCACGGTCCTGGCCGAGGGAAACAAACGGGAACTTGGGTTGTTGCACGTCTTCAATAATCTCCCGCGTCGGTATTGCCTCTGCGGAAGCTAAACGCTTCGCTGCGTCGGCAGTGAGATCGCTGTGTCCTTCTTTCTCGAGTCGCGGCGCTGATGCACACAGCGGATCCCCTTCGGGAACATCTTCATTCCGGAACAGCTTGTGTGCGCTAATCAGTCGCCAATTGGGACGGATCGAAACACCAAACCACAACAAGTCCTCGAACTCGATGGTAATCGGAAAGATGTCCCTGGAATCGTTGAATCTGCTGAGGATTGTCGCCCATATTCGAAACTCGTCATGCGTTGCACTACCATCCACCGAGTCGCGATCGGTTGGTGACGTGCCAATTACCTTCTCCAGTAGTTGGTGTTGCTCACGAAGTGCCGCATTGCAGAAAATGGGTCGTATCGGATTTCGACATCCCTTCGAATATTCGTCCATGTTGAGCATGAATGTGGGCCTGTCATCGAGATCCAATAGCTGCGGAAGGGTGCATGTGTTGAGGACGTCCAGAGCAGCATCTTGCCTTTGGGCCTGGTGTAAGATAGAAGGAGCTGTAGGCAGCGGTAACTGAAAGAACGAGCTACTCATTAGGGTCCAGATATGAGATCGTGTCGGCCCTGCACGATGATAAAGCAAGGTACATTAGGAATAGGGAGGGCGTGCGTTTGTAGGGTCGATGTGCGACGTACAACGTGAAAGGTCGCGATGGGTCTGTGCCTGGGCCATAGAAGACGCTTTGAGCGTAGTAGCTACGGTTCCTGTGGGCGTGACTACCAAGACTGCGACAATCAGAGTATAATTGGCAGGTACATCTGATGCAGACGGTTGCAGACATTACCATGTCGCCGATACATCGCATGCTGCTTAAAAGTATTACTTCCCCGTCGCACCTAGGCGAGCTCTTCCGCGAGCTTATTCATGGCTTCTCCAAGCCGGTAGGCATCATTTAGATGTCTGGGTGGCATTGCGACGGGCTTCTTCAATGTGAAAAACAAAGAGACATCAATCGCATGCGCGTGGTCAACCCCCATATAGCAAGCACGGTGTCGTTCAAAAGATGGGACGCTGAAGTAGATGTCGCGTCCACGGGTGCGTCCCGGGACGGCTGAGAATCACGCTACCAACATGCCTGGTTTAAAATGACGTCACGCGTTCTTAGCACCAACACGGGATGTTCTCCGCATCGCAGAACGAGCAGATTGCTGTGTTGCACGATCCAACATCAATCCTCTCTGATGTCTTGGCTGATGATTCTTGTGCGCTGGACCTGCGTCTTTGAATAGAGGGCAGAAGCTACTACTATTTCTCGATCCAAGACTTCCAAGGTTTGATGGAGGTCAAGGCCGTTCGACTTCCGAGGTCCCGAGGCCCTTCTCACTGCAGGCATGGAATAATCCTATACAACCGACCATACAGACACCTTCAAATAAACTCTTGTTGTGACATCTTTAGTATACACACCCAGACGAGCCGAGGGAAGTCAGTGCCAGCCCACGGCTTCTTCGACTCCGAGCAGCTCGTCAAATCAGTCACTATGGAACGCACAGAAGTGAGGGGGAAAGAAAAAAGGTAAGAGAGTCGAGACCAGATGCTTGAATTTGTAGCGGGGTAGTTGTGATAGTATGCGGTTCAGTAAGTTTCGAGATGTTGACGCAGTAGTAGTGGTGCTACTAGCCACAGATCAGCTGGGACTAGAAGTCTTGGAAACGAACAGTAAATTTGTTCCTGTTTAGAACGCTAGCATACGCCTGAAATATGCTCCCAGTGGTTGAGAATCGGAAGGAGAGATTGTGCGGGCTGGAAAAGAAGAAGTACGGGAATAACTTCCGCAGGGCGGACCGGGTGTTTGGGCCGCGCTTATAAGTGCGGAGTGTGGGCCCACGGACATTTTATCAACGTCAAAAAGACCCATCTGGCGGACAGAATCCCTCGTCTCTGAGAAGAATTGCATGTGTCTCCACACCGCGCAAACTTCATCGCCGATATCTTGGCGAGATGCTGAGCCGAGGTCGAGCGTGGTCAGGTTAAGAGACTGCCCAGGTGGTTGCCCAGGTGTGCTGGCAAGACTCGGCCAATCGCATCTTCACAACCCAGGCCGTCTATTTGGCTGTGGACGCAATTCCTCTTCTCTCCGCGCACCCTTCACCGGCCGATGTTCATGCATTCCTTGCTCAACCACCATCACTACAATGCATCTCTAACACATGCAGAAGGTTCGTTCGCGTGGATCGAATGCCGAATGCGCCAGAGCCATGCGTCAATCCGAGCCCAAGCGGAAAGTGGGTTCACGATGTCAGTGGCGCTCAACTGCCGCATTCAATAGTCTTCGAACCGGATCTAGTAAAGCAGCTCTTGATTTACTCAGGGGAGAGATCATGATCACAGCCCGTCCCGTACGCTAATGACTTACGTAGTGCATGATCTACAAGGCCTATGCAGATCGATATATACCAAGATGCGCTTCCGCGACTGTTCCACCTGGTCGGCGACGCTAGAGCGGTGACAATGTAAACATTTCGTGGTAGACTGCGATGCAACGTTTGGGCAGGATGACGATCTTGAGCTTCACGACTCGTGGTGTAAGAATGGTTAAAGAAGGGTCGTATGCTTGCTTATCTTGATCGACCAGGGCCCTGCATCTCCTCATCTTTTGGTCGTGCTTGCTTCTTGTACCAAGGTCCAGCAATTGTCAACATGCGTCTCTCCATCCAATCGCTAGCTCTTCTGAGCGTTCTCCCTGCGTCGCTCGCAGCTCCCGCACCATCTCCAGCTGCGGCACCTGCACCGATTGCAGCACCAGCACCGGCCGTCGACGCAGTCCAGGGTCTGGATGAACGTCAACTGCTCAGTAAACTCACATCTGGTTTGACCTCCCTCGTTGGTGGCCTTCTCGGCCAATGCGACCAAGCAGTCAAGGACGGCGATGCCCCAAAGGTGCTCGACATCCTTCAGCAACTTCAACCTACTTCGCGACCAACGAACATCGAAGAGGCAGTCGCAAGGCACTCCCAAATCTGGGCGAGCCCGACCACGCGAACGGACTTTTTCGCCGCGGTAGCGACCCAGATAGCCGGTGGCCTGGTCCTTGACGACACGCTAAAGGCCGCTTTCACCGGTGGTCTGCCCTTTGGCGAGAACAGCATCAACAATAATAACCCTGCCACCTCCGGTATCTACCCCAAGAAGGATGCTGCTGATGCGCCATACACACTCTCGGAGTCTGCGCTCCGAAAAGCACTCTTCATCCCACCTAGCTTCACCTACGGCGCGAAACGCCCAGTGATCTTTGTACCCGGAACTGGTGCTTATGGAGGCACAAACTTCGCCAACAACCTCAGGAAGTTGTTGAATGGCAAGAGTTATGCTGACCCTGTATGGCTCAACATCCCCGGCGCTATGCTTGCGGACGCGCAAACCAACTCGGAATACGTTGCCTACGCCATTAACTATATCAGCGCGGTCTCACACACGAACAAGGAGAACATTGCCGTTATCTCTTGGTCCCAGGGTGGTCTAGACACACAGTGGGTGTTGAAGTACTGGCCATCAACCCGCAAGGTTGTCAAGGACTTCCTTCCCGTGTCTCCAGACTTCAAGGGCACTGTCATCGCGAACGCGATCTGCTTGACACCAAACAGCGACATCGCGCTCCTTCCCTGCGACCCCTCTGTTATCCAGCAAGAGGCTACCTCCGATTTCGTTGCGTCCCTCAGGCGCGACGGAGGCGACAGCGCGTACGTACCTACTACAACCTTTTACTCTGGCCTCTTTGATGAGGTTGTCGAGCCTCAACAGGGTACCATTGCCTCTGCATTCATCAACGACGCGCGTAATGTTGGCGTCTCGAACAACGAGGTACAGAAGGTATGCTTTGGGCAGCTAGGCGGCTCTCTCTACGGCCATGCCGGCGTTCTGTTCAACCCTCTAACCTACGCGCTTATCGTCGATGCGCTTACGCACGATGGACCGGGCAATGTGGACCGCATTGATGTTAAGAGCGTTTGCAGTACCTACGCCGCTCAGGGTCTCGACCTTGACGATGTATTGGCTACTGAAGGGCTCATTCCCGTGGCTGGTGTACTGCTGTTGACGTACCCACAAAAGATGTACGCTGAGCCTGAGTTGAGGGCTTATGCTAGATAGATGCGGCTCACAGATAGTCACGTTCAATATCACAGTCACTAATATATCTTGTAATTTGCTTCATCAACCTTGTTAAGCTATACTTTACGTGGAAGCGTGGAAGCTTGCCTAGGCCAACAACCTTGCAGTATGAACTTGCACATAACAGCCCAGAAACGTACTACCTTCAAACCAAGCACTACCTAAGCTCCAATCAAGTAATAAAGTGATTCAGGGAACAAAAATCAGTATCCTAACAGCCAGTTCAGCTCACGTGCTGTTCCAGCTTGTCTCACTTCTTCTCCTTCTTCTTCCTCCCTCGCTTGCTGGCCGGTGCAGATTTTGTTGGTGGGTTATAGGACGGTTGAGGGAACGAACTCGTAATGTTCGAATAGCCTGGATGATGCGCGAAGGCTGGCATACCCGATGGAGTCGCATGCACACCCGGATGAGTCGGATAGCCAGGCGCCGGAACGGTTATCGCTTGTTGACCTGGTAGCTTCACTATGTTACCATCGGGCCCTACTACTCCCACTGCAGTGACGTCTTCTTTAGCGACACCATGGTCAAGGAGGAACTGATCCATCGCCGTGAGCGTAGTAGGGTTCTTGGCCTTTATAGCTCTGTTGATCTCCAGAATCTTGGCTACCTTCTCGGCTTTTGGTAGACTTTTGAAAGCCGGCATGCTGGCTGCGAGCTGAGCTGTGTCGGTCCAGTCCGGTGTGGTAGTAGTTGCGGAGGCTTTGGGAACGGACTTGGAGATACCAGAAGGTCTAGTGAGAGTCGGGAGGCTAGACTGAGTATTGAGACGACGGTTGGAAGTATTCCCTGACTGCGCGGGCTGCGATCGAGGCGCAATAGGGAAGCTGTGTTGCTTGATTTTCAGCTCTGGCGCCGCGGGTGCCTGGCCTGACTGGAGGCATTGCGCCTGTGCTAAAGATGAATAGCCAGCAGGCTGGTAAGAACCCAATTGCGGGGAGTACTGCTGGATGGACTGAGCCGGTGTATACATCTGCGCCGTAGGAGTCGGTGCCGGCGTTGGAAGCTGGGATGGCACTACACTCCGCTGCTGCCCGACCTGCTGTACGTGATATGGAGTAAAATACTGCTGAAGAGCCGGGCGCGGTGCGTAGGGCAATCCTGGGCCGTTCACAGTATCATGAAACGATGTCATTTCGTGTTGACGACCTTGTAGAGAACCCTGGAAGCCGGGTGATGGGTGTTGTAGTCCAAATCCTTGCTGCTGATTGGGAAGCTGACCCTGTCTTCTTGCCCAGAAATCCTCGATCTCTTGGTTTCGACGTTGATAGTGCTGCAACTCAGGAATAGTCAAGGTTCCTGAGAGCCCAGGCTCAGTGAAGTCGCCCGGGTTTGCGTAGAGCAAACGAGGGTCGATATCGTGGTTCGTGGGTGGTCTTGCCGTCATCGCGAAAGTTGAAGTTCCTGGTGGATTATCCACAGATGAAGGGGTATAGTTTGGCACTGATGTGCATGTAAGTATCCACAATTAAGCTAAGAGTTCGCTGCAAAAGAGAGTCTACGGCCTATGAAGCAGTTGAAACTTGGACAGCGTGGGAATCTTCGGTGTATATATGGCATTGCCGAGATGAACGGGCGGAACTGTGAACAGTGTGGATTGGATGTAGGGCTTAAATGGGGTGAAGAGCGTTGTGCTTGTGGCGGGGTGGTAGCAAATCTGATGAAAGCGCGTACATACCTCTCGCGTTTTCGGCCGCAATCTGCGTGAGCCGTACACTCTCGTACTTCTTCCATGATTCACTAGGCTGCGCATTGCGATGCAGCAGCTCGTAGGGTCCCTTTAGCTGCGCCCGCCGGATGAGAAACCTCGCCAGAGGCTGCAGGTTATCTGTGAGTCCATTAAGCTCGGCTGGGAGGCCTTGGTGTCTACGTTCGATCGCGAAGAACACGCGCTCAAAAAAGAGATCGTCGCCATCGATAGAGGATTTCTGAAATGGATCAGCACCCCGACGGCGATCAAAGTGAACAAATGAGGGAACTTACGGGCTGGAAGCTAGAGGTCTCGAACGCTCGCTGGACGTACGGCTCTATGTCGAGATCGTCACGCAACAAGTGCTTGAAGGCGTAGCGCAAGTAGGGTGTAAGGGTCTGCGCAACCCATTGCGGATAAACGGGGAGTATCGGAGCGCTCATTCTGGCGTTCCTGTGGCTGGGACAAAAGTCGTTGCGCGGTCGGTGAGGGGAAATGTTGATAGCGGCGACGAGGATTTAAGAAAGTGAAATCGCAGTATGCGAGACAATTCATCGAATTCACCACGACAAAGCTGCGACAAGGATCGAACAAAGTGAAAAAGGGCAGAGTATATGAGACAATTTCCCAGCTTCACCACGAGAACCAGGGACAGGAATTGATGGTGCAAAATAGCTTACTGAGTTCATTCCGACTTCACCACGACTTCCGTAGACCTGAAGCGGGTGAACTTCGCTCTATAGCATGTGGGAATTCGAGAAGAATGACAATGACGATTGTCTTCGTCTACAAGCCGCATCCCGCGCGAGAATAGTGTCAACCATGGTAAGCAATTCATAAAGACGAAGCAGTCGTTGTCCTCGAGGTATTGCCTGAGACTATTCGAAGTAGTCTCGTAACCAGGTAGAGCGCGGCGGAGGCTCAGCGGAAAGATAAAATTGGGGAATAGCTTGTACAAGCATCGCATGCAGCAAAAAAATGCAGCGCTGCGTCTCTAGTAGAAGCTATCGAGTGTCTGAGTCGTCTTAAGTGATTCGAGATGATGATGGTTGAAGATTGTCAAGCGCAGTCGCGTCCCATACGGGTAGGGGCGCGTCAGGGACGCGACTAACAAAAGCGGGGCGATGACGCACTCCCTATCATCCGCCTGACGACAAATTCGCACTTCATCAACACTCATTGACATTTTCAGTACGAATCTCTCGGGCCAAACATCTGGCTTATACTAGTCGTATCTCGCAGCCTTGTGTGCTGACGGGTTGTCTCAGACCCCACGGCGAAGCCAAGGCACCAACACGGCGCAGCGCAACTCGGGCGCATAATACGCACATATACACGTCCTTCTTCTTGGCTACCGTCGATCGCATCCAACGAGTACCTATCCACTGCGTAAGCTTTCAGAATGGGCAGATCAACAATGCCATATGGGGAAGAACATCATGTGGCTGCATGGCTACTTTTCCTCTCCCGAGGTCGACAAGAGAGAGCCACATCAGCACAGCTATGCTCAAAGACTCGGCTACCTGTGTCTTGGCCCTTTGTTGTCAGACCGGGTCATTCGTAGGATTATCGTTACTCTGACCTAGCGGCGAGGAGAGACAATGGATGACGGCGTGGGGCGTAGTCGACTTTCACTTTTTTTTAGCCAGCCACTGACAGGAAGACGCGACACTCCACCGGCCACGCCATGTTTCTTGACCATTCCATGAGGATAAGTTGAGAAGGAAATCGATATTTGGCCACAGTTTGGGTCCTGCACGAAGGCAAGAAATATGCAGAGAGAGAAAGCTGAGTGAGACCACCCAGTGAATTCACTTGACCATTCCGCCCCAATTTTGTCTCCCATAAAGCGACAACTCTGACCCCCTCGACTGTTCTAAGCACCTCCCAAACGATCACCGAGTACATCAATTTACTTCCGCTCGAATCACCAAGTTAAAATGAAGTTCGCTCTCTTCATCAGCACCTTGCTCTATACTGCCACTGTCCTAGCCGCTCCTGGAGCTGTACGCCTCTCTATACCTTCACCCTAAAGACTTCATTGACACTATCCTACCAGGTCTCCCTCAACCGCTCCTTCAAGACCATCGCAGTCCGCGACAACGATAACGTCGAGGGTACTGTGCAAGTTGCCTGTATCGAGTGTCCATGTGGAGTAAGTCTCCTCATCGTCGGCCTTTTCCTCTGCAAGGGCGGCGCATGGAGTATTATCAAGATTCACTGACGGCGCCTCCAGGGCTTTACTGGCGCTTGTGAATGCGTCTCGGGGGGATGCTGCTGTGATGATAACGGCCATGTCGAGGTGCCTGAGGGTGGCTGGAAGGCTTAGACAACGGCCGTGGTCAGCGCCCTCGCAATCGTTGTCCGGTCTTTGGTCTGGCTGTCATCTCTTTTCACGATGGCCTCAGGCAGTATACCGCCTTGAATATGTTGGTGGGTACTGCTGTTTGCATCACTCCCTTGTTACGAGACGAGTGGACAGCGAAATTGGAAACATCTCCTTGATTGAGTCTCAGGCATTGTCACTGCCTAGTCATATAGTTTGAGACATATATCCATGATCCTTGAATCCTGTCATTTGCCGTGAAGTCGTACATCCATCCCTTATACATCCACATGCTTGCACCCCAGAAGACTTCACTCAGGGTGCGTCCATTCCGGTCTTGTAGTGACAAAGTAGCCCTCAAGAACGAGGCCAAGTGCAGTTCTTCTGGAGACAGCAGCCGTTGACGACACATGTGCAGCCCCCGTAGAAACCCTAGACGCATATTTATCAGCCAGGTACAGTATTGTTCGTTCTGCGATAGATAGCAGAGGAGACAACTTACGTTGCATGGACACTCGACACATGCCGTGAGAGTATCGGCGACTGTGGCACCGCCGCCATCAACGCCATCAACGCCAGTGTCGGCCTCGATGAAGGAGCGCTTGAGGGAGATCTTTGGGAAGTGGCTGTCAGTAATAGTCTCAAATAGGATGATGGTACATGGGGATTAGAAACCTACAGCTCCAGGGGCGGCCATGGTGGTTCCGAAGAGGAGAGTGGCGATGATGGTAGTAGCCTTCATGTTTGCGACTTGGTGCTTGGTTGCTGGATGTAATGGAGATTGCCGTACTGAGTGTGATGGAAAGTTTGAAGCAGTTGATGATTGTGAGCGAGAACAAGGTGTGGATCTTCAGCAAGGACAAGAAACGGGGGATTATATGCTGTGTGCGACTGCTTCCCCAGAATGCGGGTAGCTAGCGTAGAAACTTCATACAGCAAGCACGCCCGCGTTGAGCCTGTTGAGCCTGTTGAGCTTGGACTTTTCAATCTTCTAGACCACTAGTGGCTGTTATCCTCACCCGGTAGGAGATAAATGTGCTCACGGCAGGAGGCGACTATGCGATTGCGCCTTCCAGACTGCGTCGGCCTGCCACGCATCCCGAGATCGCTCTTGAAAAGGCCGGCCTGGAGCTGGAGCTTTAGTCTCCATCGTGACGGGTATACATCGCCACTGGAGGAGCCACTTCAAGGATGCTCTAAGAGTTACTGTAATTTCCAAGCTCTTACTGAGTCCTTCCAATCGTGCCTGCTCTGGCAATGTGAAGTAGTTCAAAACACGTCTTGAGCTGATCCTAAAGCCATTCTCCTTGACTTTTGCAAAGAAGATTACAAGACTGATACAGTGCAACAAAGACGGTAATGCAGTCGACTAGCGCGACTTCACGTAGATACTATTCGCGAGACAAACCCGACGTAATTCAACACAAGCGAAATGACTTCCACAGGTGAGAAGGCATGAAAAGCGGTGTTGCCCGACGAGAGCCCGCCTTATTACAACATGTTCAAGAAAGCGAACGAATAAAGGAGGTCCTGGAGCAAGTAATTCGGATTGGATGGCTTGTCAGCTTCGGACGGATTTGTATATAGAGGAAGATAGAGTCGGTCCATTGAATCTTCGAGGAAGGAGGGTTATGCCGTTATGTTCTTGTTCGCTGCGGGGTCAAGTCGAATAGAAAGTAAAGGGAATGGAGTGGTGGTTGCGACTGACTGCCCAGGTGCAGCACGTGCCGCGTGCGCGAAGAAAGCCGTCAGGGGTCGTTTCGTGACCACCTGGGCAAACTTCGCGCTCTCATTGCCTACTATCAGATATCTGTGCATGCCCATGTCCAATGGACTCGTTAAGCGGCGTGTCTTCCTCATGCAGCAAAAACGTCTGAACGGTCTAGCCTCTGCGCTGCAGGGTCCCACACCTGATAGCTTCACGTCGACGTCATCATGCCGAAACCGCGACGCGCAACGTCCGTCCCAGCAAGCTGTCGCGGCCAGCGAGGACGATATACCACCTCCAATATGAGGCTGTGATCTCTACGACACTAACTTGTAGCCTCTGCTAATATTATATGCCTCTCTGGACCAAGTCGTCGACCTCCGCGCTGCCCGCATTCCAGCCATCACCCAGTCACCTCTCGAGAGTTGCGCGCATCGCTTGTGGCAGACACATCGCAAACATGTCGACCGATACAAAGCAGCAAAAGAGCGCCAAGTTTGGCCATCTGCCTCTATCCACATCTGGGCCACAGGAAACCAGCCTGACTGTACGGCATGCACACACTCGAGTAGCGCTGGGGCTAACACACTGTGTAGGGCAATGCACTTCTACGAACACCCTACTTCAACAAGGGCTCGGCCTTCACCAAAGAAGAGCGCGATGTCTTCAAGCTTCATGGGCTCCTTCCCACCAATGTCCAGACCCTCGACGAGCAAGTCAAGCGCGCATACGCCCAGTACTGCTCCCGACCGAATGACCTCGCCAAGAACACCTTCATGACGAGTCTGAAGGAGCAGAACGAAGTATTATACTACAGGGTCTGCGACGGTTGATGGTGTCGGTCATGGCATGGCATGGCTGACGGCTACAGCTCATCCTCGACCACCTCAAGGAGATGTTTTCGGTCATCTATACCCCCACTGAGGGCGAGGCGATTGCCGACTATTCCAAGATCTTCCGGCGACCCGAAGGTTGCTTCCTCAACATCGACGATGCAGACCGCGTCGAGGACGATATCAAGCAATGGGGAAATCCCGACGATATCGATGTGATAGTCGTGAGCGACGGGCAACAGATACTCGGCATTGGCGATCAGGGTGTAGGAGCCATCCTCATCAGCATAGCGAAGCTCGTCATCTACACTCTGTGCGCAGGTATACATCCTTCGCGAACACTGCCTGTGGTCCTTGACTGCGGCACTGATGTCAGTAGAGAAACACCAATAAGATGCGCATGGCTAACGAAAGTAGAACAAAGATCTTCTCAACGACGAGCTTTATCTTGGCATGCGAAAAGAGCGAGTATACGGCAAGCGATACGATGACTTCGTCGACAAGTTCGTGAGGGCTGCGAGAAAACACTACCCCAAAGCCTACATCCACTTCGAGGATTTCGGATTGAACAACGCGCGAAGGATTCTAGACAAATACACACCTGAGATCGCATGTTTCAATGACGACGTACAAGGCACCGGCTGCGTATCGCTTGCAGCCATCATGGCAGCTTTCAAAGTGAGTGGAACCAAATGGGAAGATGCTCGCTTTGTCATGTTTGGCTCGGGGTCGGCAGGCACGGGAATTGCGGACCAGATCCAAGATGCCATCGTCCAGAACACCGGGAAGTCGAAGGAAGAAGCCGGGCGCCAAATTTGGTATGCTTCTTTACACACTCAGTCCAGGAGCCCACGCTGACCCCAGTATAGGTGCGTCGACAAGCCTGGTCTGCTTTTACAAGGCAAGAAGGATCAGCTCACTCCGGCCCAACTTCCGTTTGCGCGAGAGGACAAGGAGTGGGAGGGCAAAGAACATGGCGATCTTCTGTCCGTCATCAAGGAGGTGAAGCCACACGTTCTCATCGGTACCTCGACCAAGCCAGGGTCGTTCTCAGAAGACGTCGTTCGAGAGATGGCGAAGCACGTCGAGCGCCCTGTAATATTCCCACTATCGAACCCAACCAAACTCCATGAGGCCAAGCCGCAGGATTTATTCGACTGGACCGATGGCAAAGCGCTGGTGGCAACCGGTTCGCCATTTCCACCGGTCAAACACAATGGCAAGGAATACGATATCTGTGAGTCTACAATTTTCGTTCCGTAGTGATGTTGCTGACCGCTCCAAGCTGAATGTAACAACTCGGTAACGTTCCCTGGCATCGGCCTCGGCGCTGTCCTCTCCCGAACCCGCCTTATGACTCCCGCTCTCCTCGTCGCAGCTGTACAAGCCCTTGCCTCGGAGGCTCCTGTTCTGAACAACCGCGGAGCCGGTCTCTTACCAGACGTCGAAGACGTGCGCGAAATTAGCGTCCAGATCGCGAAGAGTGTGATCAAGAAGGCTGTGGAGGATGATCTGGCCCAAGAGAAGGATATACCAAGTGGCGATGCAGATCTAGAGGAGTGGATTAGAGAGCAGATGTGGGATGCCAAATACCGTCCGTTGAAGTTGGTCGAACACAGCAATGCGACTGCACATGCGAGAGGAGAAGCAGGCACAGCGAGTGGGCAAAGAGAAGCAAAGCACTAATGGTAGAGGGGCGTACATTGCCTGACTCTGCGTCACCAATCTGATGTATCTTCTCGCCCAGCGGTCCTCTCTTTCTCATTCAATCATGACATCGAAACAAGTACTGTACTTGTTCGCACCGTCAAAATTCCACACCCATACTATCATATGCCGACCCTTCTCCATACACTCTGGCCTATACCGAAACGTTAGCAGGGGAACTTCTCCGATCATGTCTGTCCCCGCTCCTAACATCACAGCACCAACGAAAAGAAGATGGACTTACAAATGCACCGTCTGCCAGTTTCCCTTATCCTGCAGCGCCGGCGGCGCCGTAACCTTCAAATCCGCCGGATACGCAAAGCTCTCTTCACTAAACCCATTATCCTGCACAAGATTCTCTTTTGTTAATTCCTTCACATCCACAATCTCCTTTTCTTTACTACCAGCCCAGTACACGGAGACCCTTCCCGGATCGCCCTTCTCCACGCCGCCAAAATTGCCCCGGCTGTGCCCATTGCCACCGAACATGAGTGTTATAGATGACCCGGCGGCAGCTGTTGCCATCGGGGCCGGCGCGTCGTGGTGCGGTGGCTTGCTACCAGGTTCTTGCGGGATCGTAGGAGTTAGGTATTGCGCTGGCGCGCGTTGGCGGGGGTGGCAGGCGTGCGTGTCGCCCTTTGAGGCTGCGGCGGGGAGATCCCATAAATCTGGATGCTGTTAGTGGGGATGTGTAAGAGAGGAGGAGGAGGGGTACACGAACATTCTATGCCTTCGTCTCTCCAATCGCCTGGGTTCTGCTTTGCGCGCGGCCAGCCGTGGCATAGGTGTGCGAAACCCGGCATGCTGTGAGAGGGTTAATTTCCTTCAATTGTACGTGTGAGCAGAGGGTATATACATACAGCGGATCAACCGGCGCCTGTGGCGTTGCAAGTGCCGCAGCTGCCATGTCGGCTTTTATACCGGTGTTGTTGTGGTTGGTGCAGTGCAACCATGAGTGTGCTGAGGCTGTGGTGAACAGCGTTAATGCTGCTGCTAGAATGATCAGCTTCATGCTTCCCGGAGGTAGAGTATATCTGGCGAGAATGGCAATGTGCAAAGGAGGACACTGGGATTACGTAGATATGTTGCTCGAGGTTTGAAATGGGTGGCAATGAAGTGCCGCTATATAGCGGAGACTTATTGAATCCTAGTGTTTTTTTCGTGAACACGGTATTGATGGGGACGTATGTGATCATACAGATCATGACTGCGGTGTTGATAATATTCGCATGGCTGGCATTGTTGATCACGAATTTGGTCAAAGGAAATACATCACAACAGCACTGTGCGTGGAGTTGCTGCATGGGTACGATCAGCATTGAAGGAAAAGACATTGAGTAGAGCTATGTCAGAGACATGCTAGTCAAACAGTCAATGTTTCGCTGGCAGCACATTGAAGCGCCAAAAGTGAGTAATCCAAACGACTGTTATTGATCACATTATTCGCCCATTGGCGCCAAACATTGAGCAACAGGAACCCCTGTCATACGCTCCATAGCATAATCCTTATCCCTTCTTCCCGCCTCAGGCCTCGGTTTCTTTCAGAACTGCACTGTGTTCGCATCTTCATATTCCAATCTTGTATCCTTCACGCCGCCAGCGGCCATCACAGTCTGTTTCCCCAGCGACAGCAATGTCTTCCCAACAATCCTCTTAATAACGAACCACGTAATAGAGCTCAGCCCCACAGTCCAGTCTTTGTAGAAGCGCAAAACGTGCATAACGTACATATGCACGAAATTGTCGTTAACTTCCTCGCCAGACATAGCTTCGTATGCAGCCTGCGCGATACGCACCATAAGCCGAGAAGTAATCTGGAAGCACAAAGTCTCAAGGGCGAACGCACCCCACCTCTTGAATAGCCTGGGTCCAGTATCTCCCAACGCCTCGCGGAATGTGCGTCGGGGTTGATATGCCGACTCGCGATACGTGGTGTGCAAGCATTGTCTTCTACGTCGTCCTGGTTCTGTCGCGCTTGGAAACCATGTCGATGGCAAGAAGAGGGTTAATCCGGGGAAGGTGATGTTTATTGGGCCTAATGTTGCTGGAGCTTTTAGCTGGGCAAAAGGCTCGCCGGGGACACTTGAGAAGGTGGATGAGCGACGGTAAAGACCTTCTTCTGAGTCACACTCGTATGTTGCGGAGTGGAGTGTGGATTTCTCTGGTGTGAGCATCATGTGCACGTAGGGGATCGCAAAGGTGAAGGCGAGAAGGAAGGGTAGGCGAACGGTGATTTCGAAGAGGAAAAGGGTAACGATTACGGCTACTAGGATGTGGAGCTGATACTAGTTAGCGATGTAACTCTAGTTATTCTGGTTGAGGGAACGTTTCTTACCGCATACGATCTGAAGAGTTGAGGCAAAGATTGTTGGCTATCTTCGACCGCTCTCTTGCACTGCGATATTGAGTCCAGAGGTTCGCTTCCATGTCTCGAACCGCGGCTTTCGCTCGCAGAAATCTGGCTCGATGAATCGTCGGCGTCACAGTAACAAGCTTGATATAAGGAGGGCAGGTCCCGAGAATGGCTGATGCCTCCTAGTCTTTGCGGGCTGGAGTGCACTCGGTTGGGTGTATAATTATGCGATTGTAACGGCATATTTCTAGATTCGTCGCAGGCGTCGTGCTATATTTCGGAAGATTAGAGAGGTTGTTCTAGCTGTGTGTAGCCTGGAGTGGGTGTGCTTGTGATGTTTGTAGTGGAGTAGAAAGCGGACAAAGAATCGCACTCAACGTCCCGATATGAAAGGCCGCACACGACAATGCAGACTTACGACAATGGCTGAAAGAAGTACTCCTCATGATCTAGAAAGATGCATGCATGGATGGGTTGTTCAATGGTGAGTTTGTTGAATGTGTGCACATGGGATGACAATCGGAGAGCAGTTACGACTGCGAAAATCGGACCTGGAGTTGCAAGAATTGATGACAGTGACCAGTTTGGGTATATAAGAGGATGTACAAAAGTGGTCGAGAAAACGCTATCATCGCGGTCGCTCGTCAAGTCCGTCGCCGTTCGCCATTACCGTGCTACCGCACACAGTCCCGTCGTTAAACGCTTTCCCGCGCCTCGGTCTCCCATATCAGAAACTGTACATTATGTTCGTAATCCTCATGGTTGTAGTAGTGACCACCGATAGCGTGATCTAACAACTCCCTCGCGAAGTAGTCGTCTTGTCGTCTTATGAATTTGCAGAACTCTGCGTACTCCCTCCCCAGCACGAATTGAACAAAGCATTCATTCATGACGAATTTCGTGGCATGCGCAATTTCCTCGATGTCTCTCATAGATGGGCTGACGACTTGGGACAAGAAGGACGAGATGGCTGCAGTTGTTGCGGAGCCGCTCAGGGATGCAAGATAGGCGAAGACAGTCGTTATGCCACGCTCTCCGAACGACGATCGTATCCGGTCTTCGCGGTCTTGGCTCGTTCGGATCTCAGCCAGTACTATCAGAGTCCTGCTCCCCAGGCGTTCCACATCGATGTGATATGAGCCCTTTTTCTTGCAATCCGGACCGTTCCGCGCATGTGCGTTCACCCCCGCATCGTGAAAGTCGATTTTGAGGGCCGGGGTTGCGTTATTCGCTATCAGGTGCCGGTTGAGGTAAGCCACAAAGTGGTTGCGCAGGCTGTGCGTGGCCGTGGGGACTTTTTCGGATAGCACGGCAACTGCGAAGTCGTCTGTAGGGTTCGAGATGGTGGGAATGAAGGCTCGAGCTAGGTCCGTGCCCAAGCGATGCGCTAGTCGGTCGTCGCCAAATACATATTTCTGGTAGTCCTTGATGGAAAACGGAAATGCTGTCTCGTCGCGGCCGACGATGTTGTGCAGCGAGAAGACATCCTGAACCATTGAGACTCGAGGGATGCGAGACCCTAAAAGATGAAATTTCGTGGGTCAAAGGGAGTGCGCGAGCATTTTGAGGTCCGCTGGCCGTGTAGTTAGCGGCGACCACCGTCTGGATTTCGACCTGCCAAGAATGGGGCTGTGTAAATGTCACTCTTCTCGAAACCGCCCGTCTTTGACTAAAATGCCGCACAACACGTCATATGCTAGCCTCTCCGATGGACTTGGATTTATGGTAGGTTGAAGCTCCATGGTGATATCCGGATCATTGCAGATCAATGCTGCCGACTGTGCGACGAGGGGCGAGTGCCGCGTGTCGCTCTTGCCCTTTCACATGTCACCCACTGAAAACTGTCTACAAGGCTGAAAGTGCAGTGTGCGCGGTGGGAGCGAAGGCGACTGCCATCAAAAAGCGGTGTCTCCGAGCGCTAGATGACAGTGAGAAGTTTGGAAGCGCCGTCGGAACAGGAACCGCCAGACAGAATAGGTTAACAGGTGCGGAATGATTGTTGCGAAGAAGACGACAGAAGATGGCGGATAGAACGTCCCGTATAGTAGAGCATGTGCCATGTTGTACATATGCCACGGCAAGCTACAACCCAACAAGCAAGTGCGTGAAAGCTTATTCAAAAAGCACGATGCTTGGCAAATGCTTCACATGTGTCCGCTCCACCCGTGGGACTCGAGGGCGTTGTCAATGTCAGTTGCCGATTGCCCAATGGCACTACTAGGATTGCTGAACGGAGCAACGCGCACCGAAATCCGCTAGTGGGGTGCTTTCGTCTTCCCAAGGCATGTCTGCGAGCTCCTCGGGACTAATGTCCAAGGAGACCATCGCCAACCACTTCACGTAGTTCCACGTAACGCAATGGAAGATTCAGCATGGTTAAATTCCAGGCATCCCCTGAAACTCGGCCGTGATTGGTCTTAGGGTCTATGGGGTCAGACTTGTCGAGAGATATAGCGTTGCCGGAGTTGGGGTAGTCCGTGCGAAAATGGCTCATCGACTGTGCAGCAAAGTCACGCTCACCGTTGAGGATTTTTGAACGGAAGCACGATGGACGATGCCACGAACATGTTCAATCCGTACTCTCGAGAGGTGGTAATGCCGAACGAAGGGCGCTTCGTGCTGGTGACACGTAGGTAAGGTAAAGCAGTATGCTACGCTTCTCCCCACGTGTGGGGCGCGTGGGATGCGAGTATACCTCGGTATAGGCGAGGCGTGTACCACATCTGCGAATTTAGGATCATGTAGACGGAACCCAACCTTGGGAACTTGGACCGATCATGTGCGCTCCTCACCGTTCAGATACACACTGAACGCCTAGGCATCTAGACCGCCCCTTACCTATGCTGCGAACTACCAGCTTATTGTCCATGGAGCGACATACAGGCAGGGGCGCTCGCTTGCACTGTGGGTAATGGTTGTCGCTTGTCGAGAGACAACGATCGCACTCGGCTATACGGCAGCTGGCAGCATACAGGCTGCTGCTGCATTGGATAGGCAGCTACTGCGCAAGGGTACTGGGTAGTTGAAGAAGTCTTATCGTGACCGCAATCACTGAGAGTGTCAGCAACACGCGAGTGGTGTGACTTTCATCCCAAACGCGCGATGTCGGCAGCGATATCGAATATCAGTGGCACCACCAGCTTCACGACTTTGAAAGGCGCAATCGTACTCGGAGACATGTATCAGATGAAGGCTGCAGACACAGACTACAGAGGCAACTGGCGCGCGGACGGCGCACTCGACATGAGACCGTGTCGAGCTACTGAGTCAGCCTGTTGATGACGGAGCGGAATCACGAATCGCTTTTTGCCAAGCTTCGGAAGTGGCCTTCCAAGGTTCGGAGCTTCCGACACGCGTCAGCTTGTGCTACCAACACTAACGCGCGCGGTGCGGACACATCACGCGTCAGCTCGGCTCGGCCCATCGCATGTAGTGACGATTGAACGGGTATTACTTCTAGTCTCCTATCTACTTCCAACATCCTCATCTTCGCAGTGGCCGACCTACTCGATCGCGATCTTCACCGAGATGGAACCCTTGGTCGTTTGCGCAACAATCAAGTCGTGGTCGTACGAAATGTCCTCCTTCACGGTGTCCACAAGCTTCGCCCTCGGAAGAACATTGAGGCACATGTACGCGCCCATAATGTACAGCTCACA